TTAAATTCATAAATCCAATATCTTCAAAACGATAAACCAAGATAAAATCAATACCTTATATTATGCAAATATCCCATTTGTTTGGAAAGTCCCAGTTGATTTTCAAATTCTATATGAATATCATTTTTGCTTCTGTCGCAGAGCCGATCCAATCATTGTGTTCCACTTATTTTAAATTATTTTAACCAATCATCACACATAATACATTGATAATAATATTCTAAAGTATTTTGCTTTTTATTTGAATATACATTGATGTAAATCTTGAATTGGAGACAATTCATGGCACATGAGCATCTAATGAAAATAACCTATCAAAGAAAAAAATTGTTAAACTTCGATATATAGGACACTTGGACGAACTTGTTCTAGGAAACCTAATCTAACATCCATCGATTTTCTTTGATAAATGTATAAAGGAATCAATTACTCATACTAAAGAAGAAATAGATAAATTAAAGAGCACAATCTCATCTTATTATTAGAACCACTTTATTAGCATGTAAAAGAAAACTATTCACATAAAGTTGCCCGTATAACTTTGTATCTTTTTAAATTAGATTTTATATTTTAAAAAATTATCATTTAATTATTTTATTATTATTTAATATTTTAAAAATTAACTCAATTTATGTGAATTATGTAGTAACTCCTACTATTTAGGAACACAAAATATATCATAAAAGATAGTAACTTAATTTAGTTTTAGCTTTATAAGAACTAATACAAATTAATACTTTAAACGGTAGTAAGAATTTTTCACTTTGTTTAAACAATTATAAATATTTTTAGAGCATATTACTATTTTTTGTTGTTTTAGTACGTGCCATTTTTTTAGTACATGCCCTTGTTATAAAGAATTGTAATTAGGACTACAATTCTTTTAGAAAGAAAATTATGAACGTACTTTTCTAATTCAAGTAGGATCAATTTTGTGGGGTCGGGCGTATGTAGAGTTTAAATCTGAGAAGAATTTTATTATTAGGTAATTTACTATTAGATCCTTAAATTATACAAATACTTGGGGGCATAAAAGTCGATCAATATTTCAAGGATATTTTAGTCGTTCAACATTTAGCATAAATTATTCGTGCTTTTATAATAATATAGATAGATACTAGTCTCTATGTTCGTGCGATGCACGAGGTATCTTGTGTCAAATATTGCAAAACGCGTTCCAAAAGAATAAATTTTAAATTGCATAAATATTCTAAAATAACATGTTACTAAATATGTATGAAGTTTTTCGTTCCATGAAAATGTATGAAGTTCGATAATTAGTTCCTTAAAAAACAAAAAAGGGAAAAAGAATATAATATATAATCCAAACTAATTACCTCATTAACAAAAGTTTTGACACAATCTAAGGATAAAATGGAACTAAATATTCTAAGAATTATGTTAGTTGTAAAATTACCTAAAGAATGCAACAACATTTAATAATTATGGTCAAACCATGTAATGGCGAGTATACTGAAGTCATATTTCTTTAAGATATATTAACAACAGAGAAAACAAAGAATAAAAGTTATTTTGTCATTTCTGCCTTTTATGACATTACTTTTTTGTTGTACTGCACGTTATCCTATGTTAATTAGTATAAAATTTTATATCTAAATATTAAAAATTCTTAATCACATAAAATTAAAAATAAAATATTTTTTACCCCCTAAGAAATTCTTCAACTCCAATCCTAATCAATTCAATTTCTAGATTATAACTCCTTAAGCTGAAAAATTTAGTAACGATAAAGATATATAAAGCTAAAATATTAAATGAACAGGAAAAATGTTTAGTAGTATGATACCTAAATTGTAATGGAACACGTTTTGCCACAATTTTTTTTCCCCGGTAGTTTTATTTGGGGTAGACCAAAGCTGCCCACTTTAACAAAAAAAATAAGAGATATTCTTTATTCAATAGTATAGATAAAGGATAAAAATACTCTTGTGCCAATCCTTTTATTGGAGTAGTATTTTTCAAGAGAAGAAGATCAATACAATAT